GCACAGGCTAGCTTTGAACTCTTGACCCTCCTATTCAGCCTTCTGAGTGTTTGATTACAGGTGTGCGCCCCTATGACAGCCTTCTGGGGGTTGTTTTTAAAAATCGCTTTCCAAAATGCTATAAATTATCATTATCATCAACTTTCGTTAATTCACTTACCCAAAATTATTAATTTTGTCCTACCTCTGACAATGAGTAAAAGTGAAATTTTCATATGCTTCTTCACATGGGAAACTATCTCCATCAATGCAGATATTAATTTTAGCCCTTAGTATAGATAGGCCTACAACATTATTCTTCAGTTTTCTTTGAGAGGTAAAGCTAAATAAAATGTCACAGATGAAATTGACTTTAGCAATGATCACCACTCTTTAAAAAAATGTTTAAAGATTATTTTTACTTTTTATTACATGTTTATGGGGGGGGTTGCAGACCAGGACCTGTATATGTGTGAGTACAGAGGAGGACCTTGGATTCCCAGGAGCTTGTTTCATGCGTGGCTGTAAGTTACCTGAGAACTTCTGGGAACTGAACTTGGGCTGTCTACAAGAACAATAAAGTTCTCCTAACTGCTGAGTCATGCTTCACATCCCACTATTTTTTTTTTTTTAAATTTGGATGGCTTATTTAGTTTCAAGAGGAAATGATAGCCAGCAGAGGAATTTTTTTAAAAAACATGTGACTTTATTCCCAGGGTCTGGGTCAGCCCTCCCCTGACTCAGATGAAGGGTTTTTTAGTGCAGCCTTTCTGCCCCCTCTGGTTCCTTTGAGTCCTTGCTTTTTCCAGGCTGTGCAGTTTGCCCACCTCATTGCTCTCCCATGCCTCTCACCTGCCACTACTCCCTCCCATAATGCTTCTCTCCCCCATGGGGCGAACTCACCCAGACACAGGCTCTCAGCCAGCAGGGAATATAGACATCCCACACTCCAGTTCCTTAGGATCGAATGATGCATAGCTTTCAGGGCTACACGCAGTTAAAAACCAGACATGCAAAGCCAAAGGGATGAATTAGTGTTGGTAGAACTTCGGAGAAGCAGGACAGGGGACAAAGACACGGAAATGGGCCGAACCAACCTTGGAGTAGGATTCAGGGAATTTCCATGCGCTCATGAGGAACCTGCCAACTTTCCCTTTCTGTGTCTCGTGTGTTTGGGGTGCGACCTTCAGAAGCCCGAGTGTGCTCATTAGATCCATCCACTGTGAACATTTCATCTCAACTGTTTGCTCCTTGTATACACGCACACACATGTGCATAGCAGACACTTTTTCTGAGCAACATGAGAGCTGCAGTTAGCCTAGCCCTGGATGCGTGACTGCACCCCCATGAACTTACTAAGGATGAAGGATGAAGACATTCCCTTAATGAACCATTGTGTAAGTTTGAAAATTGATAGGACTTTAAAAGTTCAAATTTGCTGCTCACACTCTACGTCCCTCACTGAGCACCAATCTTCACGGCGAGCTTCCCTGCAATACAGCATCCTGTCCAGAGTCAGGCCTTTGGAATCCTATTTCCTAATCTCCTTGAATGTAGAAGGTCTCCATCTTTCCCTCTCTTGGCACAAGCCACTTTCTGAAAGTGACTGGGCTTACCTCAATACGAATCCTCACTTGACCATGTAAGAGCTGGTTGACACAGAGAACTGCTTCCCCTCCTAGGCTCCGTCTTCTCATCTGTTAAATGGGATAGTGATACAATAAATTGAGGCAAGATAGCAATGAAACAAATGAGAACAAGAATGAAGGTATTGATAATTCAACACAATCAGGCTGCCCCAATCCCCTACCCAGGCACCTAGAACCTTTTCAGTGATTCGTACATTTGGCTAATTAGCAATAGCTAAGTAACTGGTGAGTTATGGCTAGCTTCACTTCCGACGTTTATTTCTACGTGATCTTGGGGAAGTGATTTTCCTCTTAGTGACCTAATGTCCTAAGTTATTAAGGTGGGGTTTCCAGTCTCTTCCTCCTGGGGCTGAGCGCTGGTGCCTGAGAGTGCAGTCAGTGTCCTAGCCTCCCACCTACCCTCTTAGTCACCGCCCTCCTCCCTATTCATGCAGAGTTAGCCAAAGAAGAGTTTGTAGGCATTAACTCCAGGACCAAATCCTCGCAGCAGGTGCAAGTCCTGAAATCCAGCGCTGATCGCTGTTTAAAGATGAAACTGGAAAACCTTACCCTCCCCGTGAATTATTATTTTTTTTCTAACCAAGTGTATTTTGGAATAATCTCCTTTCTGTTGCTCAAACAAACTGTCATTGTGGGTGTGGTGGGTTAGGTGGAAGTTTGGGGTGTGGATTGTTGGGCTGCTGGGGTGGCCGTGATTCATTGTTGATTGAAGCTTGAATCTGGACTGTGTGACCTTGGCACCATCATGGCCACTCTGGTGTGAGCAGCCATCTGGAGCTTGGCACTGTCCCTTCTGGAACTTGTCACCAGGTCTTCCCAGGGCCAGATCTGAGTTCAATGTTATAGCCACAGGGAAGCCTTTCAAGGGGCTTTGCACATAAGGTTGGTTGCCCTTTGGGGTTTATCTTCTTTCCTTAGCTCAGTCTTCTGGGCGGCTTGACTGACCTCTTCAACTGACTAATGTCTTTTCCTTGTTGTCTGTCCCCCACCAATGTATTAGTAATCTGTATTGATCAATTTATTGACCATCGGTGTGCCCTTCCTCTGACTACCTGGCCCAAGACACAATGCTCGCCATTTTCACTGGCTATGTTTGTTGCCTCAGTGAGTGAATCTTCTATTCTGCTTTCTTTCAGCAAGAACAAATTAATGAATATATTATGCTTTGCCACCCGCCCCCGGCTTTGAGGACACTTTGGGGAAGCCAAGAGGGTGTCAGTGGTGGATGAATTGGGATTGAGTCAGTAGGACAATGCATTTCACACACACACACACACACACATACACACACACACACACACACTCACACACACCAAGGCAAGGGCAGGGAGGGTAGCTGCCTCTGTGAAAAAGGATTTCTTCCTTTCTTTCTTCAATTGCTTTCTGATTGCCATGGTTCCTCTAGTTCACCATGAGTCCTAGGTCGCATTTGCCTGAGGCTACCAAGAAATCCTTTCTGCACTGCCTCTCACTTATGGAGGCATTCCCCGTCTGCAAGAACTGCAAGTGACAACAACAAGGGACATGAGGGTGTGAAATGAGGTCACTGATTTGGTTGCTCCAAGTCGCAATGCTCATGTAACCTGAGGGAGGGGCATGAGGAATGACATTTAGAATGCCTTTGAGCCTGCACTGTCTCCGGAATCAGGACTTGAGCTTCAGGTCCCTGTAGAGCTGAATCATAACGGAATGGCATGGGTTAATGTTTTTCCTCTCGTGAGCATCAATTCCTCAGCTGTAAAGATGGCATGGTGATTCCTCTCCTCTGTGAGTGCTGAGTGTGATGCCCACAAGATGCTGCATGCAAGGCAGGGCAGGGCAGGGCAGGGCAGGGCAGGGCAGGGCAGGGCAGGGCAGGGCAGGGGTTATTCTGCATGGATACTTCTGGAGCAAGGGAGACATGAGCATAGATCTTGACTCGCCTACACACAGGCCAGGTTACACCTCCCAGCCTCAAGTCACTGTTTGCTCAGAGTAAACTGGTTGTAGTAATGCATTTGGTCTATTGTTTTGATTTGTTTTTGTTTGTTTTTTTTTAGGCTTACATCTGTGTATGCAACCAAAAGTGAATAAAAAAGTTTTTGAGAAAACTTGTATCAAACATCTATAGGCATTTTCCTATCATTATTACCAACACAGTCTAACACATTACATTATTAGGTATTAGGTATTGTTGAAATTATATGAGAGGATGCCCGTAAGACACATGTAGATCCTTGCCATCTGCCCTTAGGGATTGGAGCAGCCCTGCATGTTGCTATCTACATGGATTTCTAGAGCCAATCCCGACAGATACCAATGGTCTAGTTGTCTTGTACTAGCATTTTCCCGAAGACTATTGAGAGACCCACTTAGAATATATATTATTTTACATAGAGTGTCATTAAGGTAATTGTTGTTTCTAGCCTTATAAATTTAGACCCAGACCCCTCAAAAAATAAAATGGTTGTGGTGATGTGTCATGTTAGATATCCGAGCTTATATATAAAAGGAAAAATGTGTTGTTCAATCAATTCCCCAATGGCATGGCCTCATTGGTGGTATATACCTAGAACAAGACAGAAAATGGGGAGTGATATTTTGAACTTGAGGGGGTATATAGTTGTAAGGGCATACACTAGAGCAGCGACTCCCAGCCTTCCTAACGCTGTGACCCTTTAATATAGCTCCTCATTTTATGGTGACCCCCGAAGCATGACAGTATTTCATTGATACTTCATAAATGTAATTCTACTACTGTTATGAGTCACAATGTAAATATTTGATAAGCAGGTTCTCTGATATGAGACCCCCAAAGGGTCACAACCCACAGGTCGAGGATCACTGCCCCAGAGAAATGAGAGGGGCCACCCCCCCCAGCCTTGCTCCACAGCATCCCTTTGCCCAGAGCCATTTGTCTTTGAGCTCCATTATTGCTCCTCTGGAAGCACAGTCAGCAGCTATCTGGTCCTGAGATGTGCCTGCCCCATGGCCTGTCTCAGAGTGTTTCCTGGTTCATGTGTGGCCAGTGACAAATAGAAGGCCTATGGCCGAGAGAGACAGGCTGGCAGTGACCTTCTGGGACTCTAGGCCATGGGTTTGTTTGCAAGAATACAGACACACTAGTGGCCACTGACAATATGTGTTCCAACATCACATATGGGGCATATTTTGCTCAGAAACATGCCCTGTTAGTTGTTGAAACCTTTTTTGCATTCCCTGAAACAAATGGCACTATGGAGTATTTTCTTTTAAGGGGCAGTAAATACAAGTCTTTTATGTTGACAATGATAATATTATATTCTACAATTGATTTGCATTTTTCTATTCTGTGGATTTTTCTGCGCGGTATAAATCCCCAGGCTGAAATGCACTGGGCCTCACTCAGAGATCAGCAATGGGTTTTGTCGCAGGCCTGGACAGCTGTTCTGCCTGCAGGGATCTGGCTCTGCTCAAATGTGAAGAGGCGATGCACAGAAAGGAAGAGTGTGCATGTGTGTGCAGATTTGGGTAGGTGACATGGTGCCTGCAAGGATTCTCCGGGAATTCACTATCAGCCTGATCCTCAGAGGAAGCGAATCTGAGCTACATCAGCCCCAGACCTGCCAGCTGGGTTCTCGGGAAAGCAAGGAAGAACACAACGCCTTTTGGCGGTTCTTGGAGGAGCTGAGCTCTCATCACTTCCTGTGGGCCTTTCTGCGCCTAGGATCCTCTCTCCTGCATCAGCCAAGCTTGAGGCAGAGTTAGTGCTAACCACTGGGGCACCCGCTGAGCACTTGCTAAGCATCATCTCTTTATACCCTCACCACAATCCTGCAAGGTAGGTGCTGCTGTTGTCTCTGCTTTACAGAGGAGGGGACCACAGCCTGAAGTTCCTCGGTGGGTAATTTTCAGCCTAGGAATTCAACCTCCAGGCAGGTCTTCTGGTGACAGAAGAAAATAGGTGTCTTGAGAAGCCACCCATGGTGACCACAGAACCCCTCACTCCGACACCTTGCCTTGAGCCAGCGGGATGAAAATACCAAGAATGAACGAGTTCCTGACTGTAATGGGGTGGTTCTCTGGGTTGCATTACTTAGGAGAGGCGAGTCTCTGGGACTTCTTAGTGTTTAGACCAAGGCTGAGTCACCTCTGCTCCTCCTGTGGAATTTCACTGGTGGAAAAGGTGGAGGCCATGAAGCAGGAACAGTTAAGCACCTTAGGCTGAGCTGAAGAATTTGATGGCAACTTTACCCCCAAACCCTTAGAAGAAAGAACAGATATCTTTCTTAGTGTTTGGTCTCCATACTGCAGGAGGAAGCCCCAGACCTGGCGGTATCTGTGCCAGTAGTTTAGGGTAAACAAAAGTATCTTCTTGATACTCAGTTTGAAGCTTCTGTGGCTGGCCCAGTAATGTCACTGAATGCTTGTCTATTGTGTTCCAAGCCTTCTTGTCTTTTTTCCAGCCTAAGGAGGAGCACACGGAAGGGCACTGAAACACGACTTCTCTCTTTTGTTTTTTTTCTCCCCACCGCTTCTCCTTTTAACTTAGCCTGATAAATAGTAATTGAATGGTTGTTCTCATATTGAGCTTTTAAGTATAACATTTGTGAGTGAAATTACCCCTCTTCCTTTCAAAGTAACCAGATCCTATTTTTCATTTTCCATTTCCTCCAGAAAAGTCAAAATGGTTTTGCTGTTGTTTGTTTGTTTGTTTGTTTGTTTGTTTTTAGAGCTTGACTTCCCTGTGGGTGACTTTCCCAGGTGGGTACTTCGTTAGCCAACACGTGAGCATGGCAACGACATTCAGCACAGGTAGACGGTTCTGACCTCTACCTACAGGAAAACTTCACCACAACCCTTAGAGAATGGGTTGCTGTCGCTCTTCTCGCTTGAAGGACCCACAGAATGTTCACACATGCCCTTGAGCCATCAGGGCTCAGGGGCCCCAGATTTTTGGATAGAATTCTATTACCCACATGGTCATGCAGACAAATGAGAGCTAATCTTACATGGCATTAGGACAGGACTTTATGCTGCGATCTGCGGTGACCTCACAAGCTGTCTTTCCAATTCTCAGTCCTTCTGAACATGTGAAGGGCAAAAATCTCAGCTTTGTATGTACAAAAAAAAAAAATAAAAAATATAAGACAGACCATGATCTTGGGCATTTTGAAGGTAACAGTTTCTGATTTGGAAGTATTAAGCTTTAATTGTTTTGTAAAAATGCCACCCCCAATAATATCACTTTACAGCAGTTTTAACGGTAGGGTGGAATTTCATTCAAAAATGAGTTGACTTGTTTCCCCCTACTCTATAATGCCTGTGGCTGCGCTGGAATGCCCCTGCCTAGCATTGTGATCGTCTAAGATTTTGTGCAGTGGCCAAGGCAGAGAGTGAGGCTGGCTTTTGCCAAGCTACACTCTGATCATGACTGTTTTCTCAAAAGCCACACTGAAACAGGACCAAGGGTGCTGAAAATGGGGCTGGTATCATCTTTCCCTGTCTTCATTCCTTGTGTGGCCTGGTCTCCTGGGTCTGTTCATCTTACTGTGGGACAAGCAGTTGGGAGAAAGGTGGGCAGCCTTCGTGTTAAGCAGAATGGGTTATGTGTGTAATACATTTGTGCCCTCGAGGTCCAGGTTCCCAACTTCCAGGCTAAGGGACTCCTGAATTCCTATTTCTGGGGTTCAAGTTTGCCTCTGGATGGTGGAATCTGGTTTACCCCTGCAGCCTGCTGAACTTGTGCTCCGGGGACCAGGCATTGAAGTGCAGGTGCAGATGGTTCGGTTGTCGCAGCCATAGCAGCAGTCGCAGCACGGAGACAAAGTCACGTGTGAGTTCTGCGCTACAGCAGCTCCTCCGTTCAGGCTGCAAATCTTTGGCAATCGGAGGAGGGCTCTGAATTAAGCTTAATTAAAATTCACTCTTAATTAGGGCCATTACTTAAAATCAACTCTATGTTATAAAGCCGTGTAATCATAATTAAGCCCCAGGAATGGAATTAGGAAGCACAGAATGTAAAAGCCAAACACAAGGGCCCAGTGTCGGTGGGGGCAGCGGTGGAGTCTTCTACAATTAACGGAATTTTCAAGTAAACAAGGATCAGCCAGTCGTGGTGAGGACCTAGGTAGCCATGGGGGTGGTGTGCTCATCAGAAAGAGGACTTGAAGAAAGTAGACCCTAGGGACAATGGGCTCAGGTAGGCTGATGGGCAACAGGGAGGGTCATTCTGAGGAGCTGGGCCACATTCCCACTCTGTGAGTGATGCTCACAAGCCTGACTCTGGAATCTGCTTCCTCAGCTGTGAGTTCAGGGATGAAGGCATTGTTCCCCAAACTGCCTTTGGCTCAGGATTCTTGTTTCTATGGCGCTCCTGTCAGGGGAGCTTGGATCGTCACAGCCAAGGTCGGTGTCATCCGATGTCACAGTCACAGTGCTTGATTTTAAAGTCTAAAAGAGGGGGAAGGTGAGGTGGAAGTTGATGGGAGTCTCCCACTTTGACGTCATTCATAAGCCACTAAAGAATGGGGACATAAGTTGGGAATAAAAGGGCCAATTTTGCAAGTTGGATGTGCCAAGTGCTGACAGTGGTCTAGGGTGGTGCTTCCTTCTCATTTTCTTGAGCTACAATGTGAGAATTAAAATAGGCAATACCTTAAGGTTTCCCTGATAAACATAAAGTAATTATGTAGCACAGTGTCGACAATAGCGCCTACAAATAGCTGCAAATCTTACATCATGTTAATATATGTGTGCTGCACATAATAATATATGTGGCGCAGTTCTTGATTATATGCACAAGCCTGCCTTTGACCACAGTTATCATAATAAGTAGACATCATTTTCTCTAATTTAAACACAAATAATTGTGGACTCAAAGAGGAGCTGGAACTCACATAGGAAGCAAATGCATAGTAAGAGCCACATATATTATAAATATAGTATCTGTGCCTCTGTCTTGCCCCATGATCAGCCAGTGAATCCCGGTAAAGAACATGGGTCTAGAAGCACGTTTCCCAAAGGAGGCTCCTCTCCCATGTTCAATCATCAGGCCCAAGTTGGTGCATCTAATTCTGCCAGAGAATGAGACTTGCTTAATCCAGAGTTCCAGAGTTGTGGAGTTGGAGGGGAAAGGAAGGCAGAGAGAGAGAGAGAGAGAGAGAGAGAGAGAGAGAGAGAGAGAGAGATCCTTCTCCCAGCTTCCTTCCATTTCATTTTCTTGTTTGAGATTCTTGGGATTATTCTCAGAAGCAGTAAGGGGACACAGACAGCCATAGCCTTCATCGCCTGCTTCCCTTTCATGCCCCTGGCTCACACCTGATATAAAGTTAAGGCTCTGCACATACAGTCTCTCTTTTACTTGGCATCCAGGCTTTAAGGGCTGGGATCATGCTGTATTTTGCAGACAAGGAAATTGAAGCTCCGAGACAAAGCTCAATAAGTGAAATATGCCATTTGACGCCAGCTGGGTGTTCGGTTCACTCTAAGAGACAGTATGCTCTTCCAGAGATATGGATTGGGCTGGGGCCTCGGGGACCATTTCTACCCAAGGCAGCATCAATGCCAAGGCTACATACACCTTTGGTGCAGACAACGTCTTCCAGCTCACATTTGCCAAACCCCCTCAAGTCCACACAGCAACTCCCCTCGATGCTTACAAGCTTCAAAACTCACTGAGCTCAGTTCTCATGTTTGGCCATCAAGATGGAACTGGGTAGAGATTCAGCCGGGACCTGGTCTTCATGAACCCGTCCAACTCAGACCTTTCATGTCATCATTAAGTGAAAGATACACATACTAACGTTGTTTGGGTGAACTTCATTCAAAGTGTTAAGTACCAAGGTCTTGAACCTTTCATAGTCTCTATGCTCAGGCAAGGCTGTGCTAGCATTTCCTCACTTGTTAATGAACAGGAACCCGCTAACCTATGCAGACCTGGTCAGCTTGGTTGAGCTCCTTACGGGGGGGGGGGGGGCTTTGTGCTCTTCAGCTCTCTGGCGGAGGCCATCTTGATTAGAGGCTGGGTTTGGAGGGAGGGGCACTCTGATTACCACCAAGACCCCACTACCAATCAGCAATGAGCCTTTTGTTCTTGGGAGAAGGAAGAACGAGGCAGGCAGGGGAACGAGGGGCCGATTTCGTTCTCCCAGGCTCCACTACCTTGAACAGTGCCAGCTCCCCACTCCCGTTTCCATACCAAGCTGCCCATGTGGAGGTCCTGACCTGTGTAAATCTGTCATGGGGAGCAACCACAGAATGAGTTAGTGCCATATGGGAGGTGAAAGCTTCCTGAGGTGTGTGGTTGTCTTTCAGGTGCTGACAGACCCCAGCTCCTGACCAGTAGAGGCGGAAGTACCTTTCCTAGTGTGACCCCTTAGTCCTTCAAGATCATTTGCCTCTATTTACACTAAACAGAGCCAGCTCCACTTTGGAGTTCCTGTATTTTGGGCAAGCCAAGCTGGAGGTCCCCACAGCCAGTCCAAGCAGGCATCAGCTGTCCTGGAGATGGTCACATGGAAGGCTCTCCCAAGCCTGCTCCTCTGACAAAGTTTAGCAAACAGCTTATCTCCCACAAAACATATGAGGTAATGTTTATGAAATATCACCCTGTCCCCTTCTCCAGGCTGTGGGGTGCTGGCATGACATGACTGAACAATGCTGGTGGTGACTGGGCCACCCTGTCCTACCCTCACCACCCACCAAATCAGTAGGGTGGGAAGCCACCATCTATATCTTTCCCATAGCAGGTCTGGAAAGAGTAAGGTTCTATAGTTGTGTCCAGTGCCTCTAAGTCTCCACGGTTCAAGACAAACTTGTGTATGGAACGGGCGTAATTTT